TATAGTAAGTCAAAAATCATAAAAACGACGCCATAGTATAGTAAGGCATAAAAAATCATAAAAACGACATAGAATAGTAAGGCATATAAACGTCATAGAATAGTAAGGCATAGAGTGTCATAGTATAGTAAGACATAAAAAGTCATAAAAACATCATAGTATAGTATCCCAAAAAAAGTGATAAAAAGTCAGAAAAACTACATAGTATACTAAGGCAAAAAAAAAATCATAAAAAAAACATAGGATAGTAAGGCATATAAACGTCATAGTATAGTAAGGCAAAAAAAAAATCATAAAAACAACATAGAATCGTAAGGCATATAAACGTCATAGTATAGTAAGTTAAAAAAAGTGATAAAAAGTCAGAAAAACGACATAGTATACTAAGGCAAAAAAAAATCATAAAAACAACATAGAATCGTAAGGCATATAAACGTCATAGTATAGTAAGTTAAAAAAAGTGATAAAAAGTCAGAAAAACGACATAGTATACTAAGGCAAAAAAAAATCATAAAAACAACATAGAATCGTAAGGCATATAAACGTCATAGTATAGTAAGTTAAAAAAAGTGATAAAAAGTCAGAAAAACGACATAGTATACTAAGGCAAAAAAAAATCATAAAAACAACATAGAATCGTAAGGCATATAAACGTCATAGTATAGTAAGTTAAAAAAAGTGATAAAAAGTCAGAAAAACGACATAGTATACTAAGGCAAAAAAAAATCATAAAAACAACATAGAATCGTAAGGCATATAAACGTCATAGTATAGTAAGTTAAAAAAAGTGATAAAAAGTCAGAAAAACGACATAGTATACTAAGGCAAAAAAAAATCATAAAAACAACATAGAATCGTAAGGCATATAAACGTCATAGTATAGTAAGTTAAAAAAAGTGATAAAAAGTCAGAAAAACGACATAGTATACTAAGGCAAAAAAAAATCATAAAAACAACATAGAATCGTAAGGCATATAAACGTCATAGTATAGTAAGTTAAAAAAAGTGATAAAAAGTCAGAAAAACGACATAGTATACTAAGGCAAAAAAAAATCATAAAAACAACATAGAATCGTAAGGCATATAAACGTCATAGTATAGTAAGTTAAAAAAAGTGATAAAAAGTCAGAAAAACGACATAGTATACTAAGGCAAAAAAAAATCATAAAAACAACATAGAATCGTAAGGCATATAAACGTCATAGTATAGTAAGTTAAAAAAAGTGATAAAAAGTCAGAAAAACGACATAGTATACTAAGGCAAAAAAAAATCATAAAAACAACATAGAATCGTAAGGCATATAAACGTCATAGTATAGTAAGTTAAAAAAAGTGATAAAAAGTCAGAAAAACGACATAGTATACTAAGGCAAAAAAAAATCATAAAAACAACATAGAATCGTAAGGCATATAAACGTCATAGTATAGTAAGTTAAAAAAAGTGATAAAAAGTCAGAAAAACGACATAGTATACTAAGGCAAAAAAAAATCATAAAAACAACATAGAATCGTAAGGCATATAAACGTCATAGTATAGTAAGTTAAAAAAAGTGATAAAAAGTCAGAAAAACGACATAGTATA